TTATTATTAATTTTTGACTGGCTTAATTAGAACTTAAAGGGGTCATTTGATGCGATTTCAAGTTTTCCTTTCTCTTTGGAGTGTTACAAGCTGATTGTGCATAGATAAGATCCCTGAAGTTGCAAAGACTAAAGTCTCAAAACCAAAGAGATATTCTTTTTCAAAGTTAAGACTCTGCCACGCCCCCCTAAAACGGCTCGTTCTAGCACGCCCCCACATATCTAGGTCACTATGTGGGAATATTTGCGTAATGCCGCCCAAATGTGCACGCAAAGAAAGAAGGCGTGGTGTCAGTAACCGCAGTTAATGTTGATGCAGTCATGTCAGGGAGACGCTTTGTGTTTCTAGGTGAAAGCAAAAGCACTTTATTTGGCCTTCCGGAAGTAGATGCATTTAGGAATCTTTAAGATTACTTACAACAGAACAGCAATGCATTTTATGGACGACCGTTTCGTGAACCTAGGAGAGGAGGTCATTCTGACTTTGCTATGACAATCTGGCGCTTCTGATTCAGCTACTGTTTTGTTATTAGTTTAAGTATTTGCTATTGACTGTTCAAATGCGGAGTTTTGCGCATCGTGTGTGTGTGTGTGTGCGCGAGCAAGCGAGCGAGCGAGAGAGAGAGCGCGAGAGAGAGAGAGGGGGTCACATCACAAACACATACCAGCTTCGTCACTGTGTCTGTCACGCGACTCTGTTGCCCTTTCGGGCTTGAACTGATGGTAAAACTAATGACATTATTTATTGTCTTTACATTTATTTTGAAAGATGAAGCTCGTGATTATGGTAAGGGGCGTTACATTTCCGACGAGTGCTTGCGGTGTTCGGCCAATCACAATGCACTGGGTCAGCTGGCCAATCAGAGCAGACTGCGCTTGTCGGAAGGAGGGACTTTGTAGAAAACGAAGCGTTTGAGAGAGGCGGGGCATAGAGGACCTACAATAATGTACAGTATTTGAAAAATAATGTGTTTTTTTAACATTAAAGCATGTCAACATATTCCATTACACCAAATACACAAAATAATGATCTTTAAAAAAGCATCATATGACCCCTTTAAAGTTGTTTTTAGTATTATTTCTATTGATATTGTGTGAAATTGTATTGTCAATGTTTCTTTCCATGTCTGCATTATATGTTGTGAAGCACTTTGAGCTGCATATCTTGCATGATAAGTGCTATACAAATCTATGTTTATTATTATTTATGAAAGTGTGTTTTAAGACAATACACTACCATTGAAAGATTTGGGGTCAGTAAGATTTTTAACGTTTTGAAAAAAATGTAATGATTTGTTGCATTAACAAATATTACTAAAATGTGTCAGGCTTTAAGTATTGCAAAACGAGATGACTGTATCCTCCTCTTCACTTCTGTACAGCCGCCACAATGGTCGAGGTGGGCAGAGATAAGAAGAACCCTGATGAGTTTGCCATGGCTTTGGACAAGGCTCTTGGTGACTTTGCCTTCCCAGATGAGTTTGTGTTCGACGTCTGGGGAGCCATCGGTGATGCTAAACAGGGACGGTTTTAAGCGCTGCTACACACACACACACACACACACACCACCACACATAAAAAAAAACTGAGCTGAAATCAAGAGCATCCTGTTCAGAGTCATGCAGTTTATAGCTAGCATGCTGAACATTTGAATTTATGTGATTGACAAAAATATTTTTTACAAATAAATAATAAACAAAAATAATAGTAAATATCACCACTGTATTTTTCTTCACATAATACATTCTCAAGCCTTTCAAAGAGCTTCAACAGCAGTTAGGCACCAGGATGATGATGAGAATCTAGAGAATTTATTTCTGTGGTTTAGCATTTGTAGGTGAAGCTGGGAGTTTATGATATTTAAAATAAAAAAAAAAGCCAAGGGGTTCAAATGAACAGCATTTATTTGAAATAGAAATCTTGTGACATTATACATGTCTTTACGGTCACTTTTGGTAAACTTAATGCATCCTTGATGAATAAAAAGCATTACTTATTAAGTCCTTTGAACAATAGTTTAGGGATCCTTTTATATGAAACACTTTTTTTTTTTCGTTTGTTTGGTTTACAAATGGGTTGTCAACTTAATTTTATTAAATTCTATTGTGCTCAAATCCAGTTTGAACACCATGCAGCAAATAATTAAGTTAGTTTTGCACTAATTAGACCAGGTGATATTTCGATAGTTCCTTAAAGTACCTTTTGGAAACGTATTGCTAAAATAAAATAGATTTAAGTATTGGTCACTCTACTCCGTGTAAGTTAACACTGAAATAACTATATTCCAATATTTTATATCAACTTTATTTGTAGCCTCATTTTACATATTGGTAAAAAAATACAGTATGGCGAAAACGGACAATTCCCTCTCAATCCCAAAAGAGAAAAAAAAAAAGAAAAGAAAAAAGTACCAGTTCACATTACAGGCATTCATTCACAAGTATTATCAATAGTAAAAATCTGTCTTTAAAATGAAAGGCGGCTCCATATATTGAGGACTAAAACTTGGCAAGTTTAAGAGATACTGTTAGCATTTCTAATAACTTTTAACATAATAGAACTGGTAGGCTCATGAAAACATACATAACAGTTTTTAGGTGGGTACAGTTTAGGGATTATAAAGCTCTTCATAAAAGTGACTGTGTAACACTTTACCACAGCTTGCAAGATATGGCTTGGAAGCACATGAGAATTGCCTTACTGGCATGTTTCTTAAAAAACGTGGAGTGCCTTAAGAATGCAGTCAAGAGGGGCGATTGTTTTCAACATGAATAATCAATATGGACACGTCAGCTTTGAATTTCTGAAATGCAAGATGAAAAAAACCTTTTAGCACCCTTTATGTGACATGGACAGTAAGTATGCTTTGGTTCTCAAAGTAATAAGCCAATCGACCGCAAGCTGCGATACTTTAAAATGTAATCCGTAAATGCATTATAAATTCCTTCATTTTTGAAGTTTGTCTTGTGCTATAGCAGATCAAATGAAATGGCAGGAGGAGTTGAGGTTGGAGATGGATGGATGGATCTAATGTGGCCAGTAAGGTGATGCAGTATTCTGGCTGAGATCTTTCCATGCCGCTTCTTCCCTTCTTCTTAGAGTTCATCCCCGATGTGAGGGGTCCTGAAGGTATCGCCAGTCAGATTGTCTTGAGCTTCCTTCATGCTAGCCACAACTGCACACAGAAGAGAAATGTGGTCAAGGGCCATCTCGCTCGTTTTGTTCACATTGCACCTAAAATCTCATTTGTTTTTCAAATTCATCTTTAGAACAGACTGCACACACAGTCAGCCCTGTTTTGCATTGCCATTGGAAAGTTTGCTATTTGAAGCAAAGCCAGCAGAAACAGAAAGCAGAAAGTCTATACATTGCATTATTTATGATCACATTTTTCAAAATACTGTAAAATATTTGAGCAAAATGTTACGTCATAACTATTGCGTTCCTATTCTACAGAGTGCAACAGTCAGATTCCAGAAGTAAAATGCCATTTGTTTTCTCCACAGGGAAATTCATTTTTAAACATTAACTCAGAAACCTTTAAAGGCAGACCTACTGTAAGCATTGTTTATCAAAGGTGCTTTTGTTGACGCCATCACTTCGCATTATTGAAGTTATGTTTTAAATAATAGGGTTTAACAGCAGAATCCCTAGTGAAAAACTGCATTACCTATTGGGCTGTAAAGAAATTTCCACCAGAGTCGCCGTGATCTAATTGCGCCAGATGATCGCTGAGCTCCGCCCACTCCCATGAAGCATCATAAATCGAGTCGGTCTACCACGCTCTCAAAACGATTAAAGGGGTCATATGATGCTTTTTTAAAGATCATTATTTTGTGTATTTGGTGTAACAGAATATGTTGAGTAGCTGATTCAGAAGTGCCAGATTGTCATAGCAAAGTCAGAATTACCTCCTCTCCTAGGTTCATGAAACGGTCGTCCATAAAATGCATTGCTGTTCTGTTGTAAGTGATCTTAAAGATTCCTAAATGCATCTACTTCTGGTAGGCCAAATAAAGTGCTTTTGCTTTCGTTTAGAAACACACAGCGTCTCCCTGACATGGCTGCTTTAACACTAACTGCGGTTACTGAAACCACGCCTTCTTTCTTTGCGTGCACATTTGGGCGGCATTATGCAAATATTTTCACATAGTGAGGTAGATATGTGGGGTGTGTTAGAACGAGCCGTTTTAGGGGGGCGTGGCAGAGTCTTAACTTTGATAAAGAATATCTCTTTGGTTTTGAGACTTTAGTCTTTGCAACTTCAAGGATCTTATCTATGCACAATCAGCTTGTAACACTCCAAAGAGAAAGGAAAACTTGAAATCGCATCATATGACCCCTTTAAATATATATGCATATTTTGCAATAAACTTAAACTATATTGTATTGTTATAGGTACAAAGGTCAACAACTTTAAATGGATAGTTCTATATTATAGATATACATTAGCTGTTTCCATCCAAAGATTTGAATGAAACTTATGTGCAAAACTGGAATATCGCATAAAACATTTGATAATAAAGCACCGTTTCCATCCAACGAGTCAAAGAGAACAAAATCGTCACTTTCT